CAGGTTGTGACTCCTGTGAACAAACTGACACAGTGTGATATTACACATATTTAAATCTGTCTTTACTGATGATGTTGAAGCTGCTGAAGGCTCAGTGAAGTTTTGTCTTCCTGCAGGTTAACAAGTGAAATCTGACAGTGATGCACAACACAAGAGGGCGCCTTCATCCTGCTAACAGGGATGTAGAGGAGGTTAAAGCACCTCAGCTCAGTTTGTCCACATGTTTTACATTCTGCCATGTTTTTAGGCTGAATAAACCCTTTATCATAAAGTGCACTGTGTCATAGATCCTGGTAAACTGGATCAAAGCATCATTAGTTAGATTAAACTCCAAACTAAATAATTGACTAACACTGTATCAGCAAACACCATGGTTTAACATGAACAGTAAAAATCTCATAAAATGACTATGAGGACTCTCTTAATATGTTGTCTGTCATCTACAGCGCCTCTCTGGGGGTGATTGCAATAATACACGTCTTTTTTTCCACACCTTTTCTGGTCCCTGTAATTTCACTTTGTTCCTGACGTTAACATTTTCATAGCACCTGTTAAAAATGTGACTGGCTGAGTCAAACTCTTTCATTTAGCTTGGCTCTCTAACTTTGCTAAATAAAGTTACAGATCCAAGCCTTTTATTCCTCTTGAACGAAAAAAAAAATCAACAGCTTTGTAAATGCACCATATGGGCCACATTTAAAACCACAGTATTACTCTTCATAACAAGAGAAAAACAGGTCAGTTACAGTAGAACAACTACATCATGAAACCGTAATGGTGACGACAGAGCAGCTGGAGGCTGCTGTCATTTATTTGTATTCATGATCATTTTGTCTGAAGATCTCAACATGAAATGATTCGATCAGCTGCTGTGTCTCATTCCTTACCAGATGTTGACTCTGATGCACTTTTGTTTAATGCCGACTAAAAGCAGTGAAGAAGAGCTTCAGCCTTCAGACATTTCACTTCGGACAGAAGCCTCCATAAAAAGTGACTCAGACACAAAATAATAATAATGAAACTCCAAACTTAAAACCAGGACTTGTTAAAATTTATCACCCATGAGACTTAAGGACTCTTTGACCTCCAGCAGCATATTTTGAACTCGTGTTTTATGTCATTCTCTGGTCTTTTCTAACCAAGAAAATATGATAAATATTTAAAAAGCTTTCATCTACAACAGTGGTGAAGAATAACCACACCTCTGTCTTCATTAACAGATTAAAATTAGTGTGTGAGGTCAGAGGGCCACATCCATCAGCATCATTGGAGTTTCAGGGTCTCATCTGGTGGGTCTACAGTTTGTTAATGTGTGTTCTGACAAAAAGATCACTTTCATGTTCCTAAAGAGGACACGTACACTTTATGTGCTTATTTTGTACTCTCTTTATTTTCTCTATGCTTTTAAAAGTGTCACATAAACAGAATTTCCAGTTTTTCTATTTTTCATATATTTAATCTTTCCCTTTAACTTTAACAACTAATGTAAATTCATTAGTGCTTTGACAGCACTGACTGGAGTGTTTTTGAAGCCACAACTACAGACCTGATGATCTCACCGGTGCTGTAACATCTTCCATCAGTTTCTGTGCCAAGTTTTCAGGTAACGACCCTGCCTGAATGTGGAGAGGACTGCAGGATATCGCCAACCACAGGAGACCATGCCCCCACACCAGGGAGAACAATCAACTGGTCAAAGACCTGAATGTTTTCCTGCAGGTTTAACGATCACATCTTCACACCCCTCACCCTCTCCAACCACATCACACACCACTTCCCACCACCACCCACCCCTCCTTACTGACTCACCATCTACACTTTATACGTGTGAAGAAGATGTGAAGTAACTCTTCAGCAGACAAAACACAGGTAACAAACAGTGAGTCACCCTCCTGCCCCAAAGTCTGAGCTGACCAGCTGGCTCCCATCATCACACAGATCTTCAGCAGATCCCTAGACCTGTGTGAAGTCCCCTCCTGCTTCAAGCACTCCACAATCATCGCGGTCTAAAAAGCAAACAAACCCTCTGTCACTGAGTTAAATGACTACAGACCTGTCGCCCTGTAGGACATCACAGCCCCCACTACCAGACCCCCGGCAGGATGCTTACTGGTCAAACACTTAAGCAGATATATATGTATGTCATCAAGTTATATTCTCAAGTTCTGTATTCATAATAACCAGTTATCCATCCCTTATTTACTCCATTATTTATTCCAGTATCTCTGTACACATAAATATGTTATACATGTTGTTGCTGTCTGTTCGTTTTTTCTGATAAGTTTACTGAAAAGCAAAGAAACAGAACCCATTTCCTTGGATGTGTGCGCAGAATCAGAAAGACTTTATTTATCCCCAAGGGGCAATTAAGATACAACAGAGCAGCATGGCGTTGAAGATAAGGGCAGGGCAGATACAGGCAATAAGAGTGAGATAATAAATACACAGAATATACAGTATATACACAGTTTTAAAATTAAAGTGACTGAATAGCTGAATAAATAACTGAGTGACTAAACGTGAGTAAAGTGTCAGCAGCACAAAAAGAGTGTAGTGTAGTTTATGTTTCTGGTGTGGGAAATCGTCTTATTGGCTGGAGTTAAAAAGCAGGGTGGCTCTCCTCCTCTCAGTCCTGCAGGAAATGCAGCGGAGGCTTCGCCCAGAGAGGAGCTGCTGAAATGCGGGGTGAAGAATGTGAGAGGGGTCGTTGATGATTGGGCTGCCTGTCTAAGGGCCTGTTGGCTGAAAAACTGCCAGAGTTCTGACAGACAGGCCAAGTTCGTCACAGGTTTTTGGCACATACATGGTAATAAAGATGATTCTGATTTTATAACTTTAAAATCATTTGTCTTTCCTCTTCCTCCGTCAGCCTTTTTTTTAATATTTCAGTTTTACAATAAAAATAAATAAATTAAACATCTCTTTTCACGATGTGAATTCTATTTTCTTTTTATCTTAAAATGAAACTGCCACTTTAAGACAACCCGTTCCCGCTCTAACTGCGCATGCTCTGCGCATGCTCGTCTTCACGCTCTCCCCGTCGCTGATCTACAAGTGTGAGGATGGGTGTAACCAGCGCGTGACTGCGTGAGCTGAAAGGTTCCATTCAAACGCAGATCTGCGGCTAAACAGAAACCAGAGGAGGAGGGTTTGGTTTGAATCGGAGCGCACACACGTGTTTCTGTCCACACTTACGGGGAGAAATGGCAGAGAAAGGCGTCCTTCTGGATAAAAAGACCTGTTGTTTGATCTGTTTGGATTTGTTAAAGGATCCGGTGACTGTTTCCTGTGGTCACAGCTACTGTACCAACTGCATTAATTCCCACTGGGATAAGGAGGACAGGAATGCCACCTACAGCTGCCCAAAGTGCAGGAAGTCCTTCACAGCGCGGCCTGACCTGGCAGCAAACACCACGTTAGAAGAGTTGGTGGAGGAGCTGAAGAACAGTGGACTTAATGTGGGAATGAACGGTGACGGTCAGACCGAGCTGGGGTCAAGCAGGCAAAAAATCAAGCAGAGAATCGAGACCAGACAAAAGGACGTGAAGCTGCTTAAGCTGGAGGTGGAGAAAATCAATCTGTCTGCTGATAAAGCCCTGAAGGAGAGCAGGAGCGTTTTTGATCAACTCACCCAGCAGATCAAAAAAAGAAGCTTTGATGTGATGTATCGGATCAGATCCCTGCAGAAAGCCGAACAGAATCGAATCAAAGAGCTTCAGCAGGAGCTGGAGCAGGAGATCACTGACCTGAAAAGGAAAGACGCTGAACTGGAGGAGCTCTCACACACAGAGGATCACAACCAGTTACTGCATCGCCTTCCTTCATTCACTCATCCACCTACAGAGTTACCCAGAACCAAAATCCTTCCTCTGAGCTTCTTTGAGGATGTGACAGCAGCTGTGTCCAAGCTCAGAGCTAAAGTACAGGACATCCTGAGGGACACCTGGGTGGATGTTTCACCCGTGGTTGATGTAAACCCACAAACAGAGCCAAAGTCCAGAGCTGACTTCTTAAAATATTCATTCCAAATCACGCTGGATCCCAACACCATAAACACACAGCTGTCATTATCAGAGGGGAACAGGAGAGCGACGTTAATGAGAGAGGAGCAGTCTTATCCTACTCACCCGGACAGATTCATTAGGTGGAGGCAGGTCCTGAGTAACCAGAGCCTGACCGGCCGTCGTTACTGGGAGGTGGAGTGGTGCAGGAAGAGAGTCACAGTGGCGCTGGCATACAAAGATATCAGCAGAGAGGGGTCCATGAACGAGTGCGCGTTTGGATTCAACGACAAGTCCTGGGCGCTGGAGTGTAACTGCAGCAGCAGCTACAAATTCATACACAACGGCGTGAAAACAGCCGTCTCGGGCCCGTGGACGTCCCGGCTCGGAGTGTACCTGGATCACAGTGCAGGTGTCCTGGCTTTCTACAGCGTCTCTGAAAGCATGACTCTCCTCCACAGAGTCCAGACCACATTCAATCAGCCGCTCTATGCTGGACTCTGGTTCAGTGGATATCACAGAGCCACTGCAGAGTTCATTGAGCTCGGAGCATAAATGAGACGACCTGCAAGATTTTTTTTTTTTCTTTTTATCATCATTGTTACAGTTCAAGAATAAGAAGCGGTATTCAAGACTTGCAAGTATCTAGAGACACAGTATTCTATGACAACAGTGACTTTTTATTTCACCTCCTCCTCCACACCATCATCATCATCACCACCTGACCTCCTTTTAGTCTTTGTTTTGTTTTTTTGGTAGCTGAAGAGTTTAGGAAATGCTGTTTAGACTTATTATGTAAAACAGAGTAAAGTACAAAGTAGATTTACTCACGGCAGTAAAATAATGCCTGAATCTGCTATATTTTTATATATGATGTTATTAGAGTCCTGAAACTGATGCATCCAAGTGGAAGCAGCAATTTAATTTGTGTCTCAGTGGTTTGATCTGCTTTATGTAGACTTAGATTTTCAGTGGGTTTGCAAAGAGAAACAAATGGATGAGAGGAAATTTAAAACAGTTCTGATGCCAGATTTTCTTTTCGTGTTTAGTACGGTTCTATAATCTCTGTGGATCATTTGATAACTTTAAATGTCTTTGTTCCAACTTGGAGTTATTGGAGCTTTTCATGTTTTTAATATGACTTCGTATGTAAATTGTTCCAGACCTGCAGCTAAGATACTCGAGTATCTTCAAATTTGAAGCTGAGTATTACTTCCATACTTTCCTCCACTGCTGATGACCTTGTTACCTGCTGCTCCCTGTTAATGATCAGCCTCAGTTCTGATAGTAAACTGTTGGCTCTCGTTCTGTCAGGTTGTTGCTCAGTGACGTCTTGTTTTCATTTTCAAATGTCTTCTTTTAACTCTTTGCTTTTGTTTCTGGTTTGTCTCCTTGAATTTTACAATTAAACTTTAAATGCATCACGTGTGTTTCATCATTGGATGTTTATAGTTGTGACTCTTTGATTTGCTGTGTTGCTCTTAAGCAGTATATGTTTACAATAAGTTAGTATCATAGTATACCACACAATATGAGTACTTTTGTTTAACTGAAGTTATCACTATTATCATTCTCACTGTTCAGATCACGTTTTTCATGTAAAGATGGAAATAAACACTGAGTCAGAGCGTTGCTGCTGGTCAGTCAGTATATTAACAGAACATGGTTCATAAAACTGCTCCTACAACTGTTTTTGAATCATTTTTAAAGACGTTGTCTTTATTGTTCTGTTTTTTGTGGTTCGGCACTTTATAGTGAGCCAGTTTTTTTAACTTAAAGATACTTTGTGAATTTAATTCAGTCATTCGGCTACTGAAAATCAAGAAAGTCTCCTCTTTAAGTTTAAAGACTTTAAACTTTAAAGTCTCCTCTTTAAATCCCTCAATTTTTCTGACTGTCTGGACTCTCAATCCAGAATAAGTAAGTTGTTATACGGCGTTGTGGACAATGTACAGATCCTGAGAAACAGACAGGCTGTTTGACAAAAGGAAGGAGGCCATTTGTGTTCAAGTAGAGAAACTATCGCTCTGTAGAGGAGGAGGGCAATAAATGCTGTTCTTTCATCACTTCCCAGCAGTTTAAACCACCCACAGGCCTCATCATGTGATGTTATTTGTGCTTTGTGTTTTTTTGCCCGCATGATGCCACATTGAGGACATCTCGTTGTCATGGATGTGGGACTGGATTTATGACAACTGAGGGCTCATCTTACAGTGTCTCACAGATTCAGTGCAAGAGGATCACACAATGCATTTTTATTCATTAGATAGCAGATAGAAGTTTGCTGAACATTTTAAATAATTTAAACAAACTGGTGTTTTGTGTAAAATTACAGTGGGATGCAAAAGTTTGGGCAACCTTGTTAATAGTCATTATTTTCCTCTATAAATCGTTGGACGTTACAATAAAAAACATCAGTTAAATGTATCATATAGGAGACACACACAGTGATATTTGAAAAGTGAAATGAAGTTTATTGGATTTACAGAAAGTGTGCAATAATTGTTTAAACAAAATCAGGCAGGTGCATAAATTTGGACACCACATTTTTTGCAGAAATTACAGCCTCTAAACGCTTCCTGTAGGTTCCAATGAGAGTCTGGTTTGTGGTTGAAGGTATTTTGGACCATTCCCCTTTACAAAACATCTCTAGTTCATTCAGGTTTGATGGCTTCCGAGCATGGACAGCTCTCTTTAACTCACACTCCAGATTTTCAGTAATTTTCAGGTCTGGGGACTGAGATGGCCATTCCACAACGTTGTACTTGTTCCTCTGCATGAAAGCCTTAGTGGATTTTGAGTAGTGTTTTGGGTCGTTGTCTTGTTGAAAGATCCAGCCCCGGCGCAGCTTCAGCTCTGTCACTGATTCCTGGACATTGGTCTCCAGGATCTGCTGATACTGAGTGGAATCCATGTGTCCCTCAACTTTGACAAGATTCCCAGTCCCTGCACTGGCCACACAGCCCCACAGCATGATGGAACCACCACCATATTTTACTGTAGGTAGCAGGTGTTTTTCTTGGAATGCTGTGTTCTTTTTCCTCCATGCCTAACACCCCTTGTTATGCCCAAATAGCTCATTTTAAGTTTCATCAGCCCACAGCACCTTATTCCAGAATGAAGCTGGCTTGTCCAAATGTGCTTTAGCAAACCTTAAGCGGCTCTGTTTGTGCTGTGGGTGAGAAAAGGCTTCCTCTGCATCACTCTCACATACAGCATCTCCTTGTGTAAAGTGCCTGAAATGGTTGAACGATGCACAGTGACTCCATCTGTTGCAAGATGATGTTGTAGGTCTTTGGTGCTGGTCTGTGTGTTGACTCGGAATGTTCTCACCAATCGTCGCTTCTGTCTATCCGAGATTTTTCTTGGTCTGCCACTTCGAGCCTTAACTTGAACTGAGCCTGTGGTCTTCCATTTTCTCAATATGTTCCTAACTGTGGAAACGGACAGCTTAAATCTCTGAGACAACTTTCTGTATCCTTCCCCTAAACCATGATGGTGAACAGTCTTTGTCTTCAGGTCATTTGAGAGTAGACCCCCATGTTGCTACTCTTCAGAGAAAATTAAAAGAGGAGGGAAACTTACAATTGTCCCCCTTAAATATTCTTTCTCATTATTGGATTCACCTGTGTATGTAGGTCAGGGGTCACTGAGCTTACCAAGCCAATTTGAGTTCCAATAATTAGTTCTAAAGGTTTTGGAATCAATAAAATGACAACAGTGCCAAAATTTATGCACCTGCCTGATTTTGTTTAAACATTTATTGCACACTTTCTGTAAATCCATTAAACTTCATTTCACTTTTCAAATATCACTGTGTGTGTCTCCTATATGATATATTTAACTGACACTTTCTATTGTAACAACCAACGATTTATACAGAAAAATAATGACTATTAACAAGGTTGCCCAAACTTTTGCATCCCACTGTATCAAAGTTTAACTGAGTCAAACATATTGCTGCATGCTCCTGCAAATCAGACAAACACATCAGACAAACACAAACATTGCCTTCCTTAAATGCCATTTGTATCTCTGTCAGAATCATACTTTAGAGCCTCCCTTCACAGATGTGTTTGGTCAGGATGGGTCTAAACAGCATTTCCTGTAGGAGGTGAACAAGAGCAGAGATCTTGAAGAACTGAAGGATCCGGTGACTATTCCCTGTGGACACAGCTACTGCATGAACTGTATTAAAAGCTTCTGGGATGAAGAGGAAAAGAAGAAAATCTACAGCTGCCCTCAGTGCAGACAGACTTTCACAGTGTGGCCTGTCCTGGTGAAAAACACCATGTTAGCAGATTTAGTGGAAGAGCTGAAGAAGACTGGACTCCAAGCTGCTCCTGCTGATCACTGCTATGCTGGACCTGAAGATGTGGCCTGTGATGTCTGCACTGGGAGAAAAATGAAAGCCTTCAAGTCCTGTCTGGCATTTTTGATCTCTTACTGTGAGAAACAGGAGGTGGAGGCCATCAATCAGTCTGCTGATCAAACAGTGGAGCACAGTGAGAAGATCTTCACTGAGCTGATCCATCTCATCCAGAAAAGAAGCTCTGATGTGAAGCAGCAGATGATACCAATATTAAACACAAACACTGGGTCTAATGACCCAGGACCATGACGACATCAAAGTTTAGATTTGTGTTAAATAAACACAATACATATAAAATATCTGGTGTAATGCTTCTCATACAGTCTTCTCATCTAAAAATGAGTTTGATTTGTTACAGTGTGACTGTACAGTTGTACCAATGCCTCATTCTCAAAGTGTGGGAAAGAACTTGGATGAAGATGTTTCTAAATATAAAGTTTGGTCTTTATTCATTGAAACGCAATTTTTTTGCTTAGGTTTTAAAAAAAATTTTTTTTAAAAAACCCCTGGTGTTGCTTGCTGAATGTTACAGCTCCAACAAGTCCAACAACCAAAGTGTAACTAGGTCACTGTTGTTATTGCATGACATAAAGAAAACATAGCACACCCTGCCTGTCACAGATAAAGCTCTTTATGACTCTTTGTTACATTCCCTTTACAGACAAGTTTGTTTAAGCCTGTATTGAAAATGCATGGTGTTTACATAGTTGCTAAAGAGCCTCATTTTGTGTAAGAGGTCAACAGGAGCCGTGTCTCATTCACAAAGTGCAGGAAGGAACTAACATTGAAACGATTTAAAATTTAAAGTGTGATCTTAATTCATTATAGCTTCATTGATTTTGATAAAGATTTTAAAAACATAACAAATACAAAGTCCCTGGTTGTTGCATTCCAAATGTCAAATCTCCAGGTCCATCTATCAAAGATTAACTAGGTTGCAGTTGTTACAGCACACTGTAATGCAAACATAACACACCCTGAAAACAGTGCCTCGTGATTTTATGACTTGTGGTGCCTACCATTTACAGACCAATCTGTATTAGGGTGTATCTAAAATTTATGGTGTATGTGCAGTAAGTCTCATTTCCTTTAAGATGTGAACACGAGTAGCAATTTTTTTTTCCTACCGAATTCAGAAAGTGTCAGTCAGTGAGGGCAAAGCTGCACAGCAAGGAGATCGAAAAACTCAAATAACATTTTGAATTCTACAAAACTTTGGATAGTACAGAGTGTGTCTGTGACTGCACAATAGAACTGCAGCCATACCCTGGCTCTTATAAACAACTCATTGTCACTCTGCCAAGATATTTTTAGTGCCTCCCTTCACAGATGTGTCTGTATCAGGATGGGTCTAAACAACATGGTGTAAATGCAGTTGCTGGTGAGCCTCATTTCCTGTAGGAGGTGAACAAGAGCAGAGATCTGTTTCCCTTCAGAGCACAGAGGTTGTTTCTGTTCAGGGAAAGTCAAACTGTCTGACAGTCACTGAGAGACGGTGAAACGGCACAGCACATGAATCAAATGGACCAAATAAAATTCTGCTGTTCAGTCTGTTTGGATCTACTGAAGGATCCGGTGACTATTCCCTGTGGACACAACTACTGCATGAACTGTATTAAAACCCACTGGGATGAAGAGGAAAAGAAGAAAATCTACAGCTGCCCTCAGTGCAGACAGACTTTCACAGCGAGGCCTGTCCTGATGAAAAACACCATGTTAGCAGATTTAGTGGAGGAGCTGAAGAAGACTGGACTCCAAGCTGCTCCTGCTGATCACTGCTATGCTGGACCTGAAGATGTGGCCTGTGATGTCTGCACTGGAAGAAAAATGAAAGCCTTCAAGTCCTGTTTATTTTGTCTGGCATCTTACTGTGAGAAACACCTTCAGCCTCATTATGATGTGGTTCCATTAAAGAAACACAAGCTAATGGAGCCATCCAAGAAGCTCCAGGAGAACATCTGCTCTCGTCATGATGAGGTGAAGAAAATGTTCTGCCGTACTGATCAGCAGATTATCTGTTATCTCTGCTCTATGGATGAACATAAAGGCCACGACACAGTCTCAGCTGCAGCAGAAAGGACTGAGAGGCAGAGAGAGCTGGAGGTGAGTCGACAAAACATCCAGCAGAGAATCCAGGACAGAGAGAAAGATGTGAAGCTGCTTCAACAGGAGGTGGAGGCCATCAATCAGTCTGCTGATCAAACAGTGGAGCACAGTGAGAAGATCTTCACTGAGCTGATCCATCTCATCCAGAAAAGAAGCTCTGATGTGAAGCAGCAGATCAGATCCCAGCAGGAAACTGAAGTGAGTCGAGTCAAAGAGCTTGAGGAGAAGCTGGAGCAGGAGATCACTGAGCTGAAGAGGAAAGATGCTGAGCTGAAGCAGCTATTGAAGCAGCTCTCACACACAGAGGATCACATCCAGTTTCTACACAACTACCCCTCACTGTCAGCACTCAGTGAGTCTACAGACTCATCCAGCATCAATATCCGTCCTCTGAGCTACTTTGAGGATGTGACAGCAGCTGTGTCAGAGGTCAGAGATAAACTACAGGACATTCTGAGAGAGGAATGGACAAACATCTCACTGACAGTCACTGAAGTGGATGTTTTACTGTCAGATCCACCAGAGCCAAAGACCAGAGCTGGATTCTTAAAATATTCATGTGAAATCACACTGGATCCAAACACAGCAAACAAACAGCTGTTATTATCAGAGGGGAACAGAAAAGAACATTAATGAATCAACAACAGTCTTATTCTGATCATCCAGACAGATTCACTGTACGTATTCAGGTCCTGAGTAGAGAGAGTCTGACTGGACGTTGTTACTGGGAGGTGGAGTGGAGAGGGGGAGGAGGTTATGTAGCAGTCGCATACAAGAATATCAGCAGAAAAGGGAAATGAATGTTTTGGACATAATGACAAATCTTGGTCATTAATTGTAACAACAACAGTTATACATTTTGGTACAACAACATCCAAACTCCTGTCTCAGGTCCTCGTTCCTCCAGAGTAGGAGTGTACCTGGATCACAGAGCAGGTATTTTGTCCTTCTACAGCGTCTCTGAAACCATGACTCTCCTCCACAGAGTCCAGACCACATTCACTCAGCCGCTCTATGCTGGACTTTGGCTTTACTGCAATTTTGGAGACACAGCTGAGTTCATTAAACTCAAGTAGAATGAAGTATTTTGGTATTGTCTAATATTGTTGTATTTTACTTTTATACAATGGTGACATGCTTGAATCCCTGTTGGATTCTGAAATCACATATCTGGATGTTTGCACTCATGGAGATTCTGCTAGTTTATTAAACTGAAATAGACAATCTTTCATATTGTGGTTTAAATCTGTATTATCTAGTTATTGTTTTTTCTCTCCATGCTGGTTTGGCATTTCTCAGAGATCAGCTGTCAGTCAAACATTATGGGTGGTACCTCCACATCTTCTAGTTGTTCTCTTGATGTTTCTGAGTTTTTAAAGGAGATCTTTCCTGTGACTGTTTATGGAGGCTATCACTGCTCATCATCATTTTGATTTACTAAAATATTTCTCCACATGAAAATGTAAACTTCTCTATCCTCTAAATGTTTCTGGAAAATTAACATGTATTTTTACGCTGTCCTTTTTGTTCCACTTCATAGGCCTTAACAAAGAGAGCAGAGCTTCCTTTATCAGAGTTCCTTGTGTCGGTTTGGCAGACTTTATTGTTAAAATCAAAAAAGATCTTTATGAATACATGAAATATATGAGTTTATTTTTTAATGTGTGATCAAAGTACAAGTTTTCAGGATTAATAAAATTCTCAGCAAAGTCTTTTCTTCTGTCTTCATTCCAGATCATTGAAGCGTCCTTACGGGGAAATAAGTTTTGTTCCTTTTTTTAAATAAAAATCCTGTTGGGTGAGATATTTAAACAAAGTGGGAAAATGACAACAACACTAATAGTTTAATTGCTTGGGTTTTTTTGTTTTGGGGTTGTTTGTTTAAGACTGTCACAGTCCTGGGTCTGGCACCCAGTATTTTGAGTTTTGTACTATTACTGATTTTTGGTTTCGGTTTTCAGTATTATTTTCAGTGCTCTGCTTCTGTGTCTCAGGCTCTTCGTTCCCGGGGTTCAGGTTTTCATAACGTTTACTACCTTCCTCATGTTCTTATAGTTAGTTTATCCCAGTTTAGGTTCTGTCTGTCTAAGACTTTGTTTGGATTTTGCCTTTCACTATAAATAAATTCACTCACAGCTGCGCTGTTGTCAGTGCCTCTTCTCTCCACATGGTTGCCTGGCTAACCGTGACATAGACAGTTTGGGTTTTGGGGGTTATGATTTTTTTTTAAAGTTAGTTCAAAAGTGTTTTATGACATTTAGTTTTTACACATCTTCCTGCAGGTTGACAACTAAAGTCTGTGAACTGAGGTCAACACAAGAGGGCGCCTTCATCCTGCTAACAGGGATCTAGAGGAGCTGGGAACTCACACAAGTGCAGGAAGATGAAGTTTGGAGCACTTTGGCAACAGTGGGGAATAAAAACTCCCTTTTAAAGCAAAGAAACCTCCAGCAGAACCAGGCTCTGCAGTGCCCAGTTGGGATTGAGGGAGGAGGACATGATAAACACACCCACCCACTCCACCATGCCATGTTATATTCTTCACTTCTATTGTGCACTTTTTCACCCAGAACGTTAGACTCACGTGCAGTTTCCACATGTAAAAAATAATTAAAAATCTGAATGTGTGTTCATCTGATTTATTAAACACTTAAACACAAGCTACAGTATTAAATGAGGCTTTTGCCAGGATTGTCTTTCATCCCCACTGTAGCTCACACTAATGATCAAACCTTGTGTAATAACTGTGTAATTATATCTACAGATTCATGGACAACGGTGTCATATATTGACTACAAATTATCACTATATGCTATTATTATCATTTTTAGTATAAAATTACACAATTCTTAATGTGTATATTTTATTAAACATTACTATAAACAAATGAAAGGAAACATTTCAAGCTCAATTGATAGATGACTATACTGTACTATAGTTAATTGTCAGAATTAAATATTTAAACCATAAATTTGTTGGCAAACGTTTCTTTTTCAACACATTGTTGTGCCACACCCAACGATTTAATCTTTGGCCTGTCGTGGTTTAATCCTGAGACTGTCTCACACTCCAGGTGTGAGATTAAAACACAGTGCAGTACAAAGTGTGAAAAAAATAGTAATAATAATGCAGAAATGCAGAAATTATACTAGATAAGTAGAAGTAAACAAGGTAGTGACAGTTTGAGCTTTCCATTACGGCCCATGATTTTTTTCTTTGCACCTGCTGCTTCCTGTTAATGATCGGCTTGATGGTAAACAGGTGACAATCATTTGTTGCTCAGTGAAGTCTTGCCTTTAACCCTTCACAGTTTTTTGTCACCTAATATACCGACTGCTTCACCTGCTGATGTTTTTCAGAGAATAACAACGTTTACTATAAATAATGTTTTACAGTTGAATATAAATCTTAAAGGAATCATCTATAACACATAATTAGTGGCCTTGTCTGTGTTTAGGCTCAACATCAACATGGTAACGAACACAAATACTAAACCCTGAAACCTGAATTTCTAATCTGTCACAAATTGTTTATTTAAAAGTAAACTAGGCTTCATAAGTTAAGTAACTATGGCACTATACCGCACACTACATGTACTGTTTTAAATAAGAAAATGATCAGCCCTATGACTCGTAGAGAACTTTTACTTTTTTTTGCATACTGGTTTTTCCAGCTATTGTGCATTGTGACTGACGCTGAGCATATAAATAAACACGAGAAACAAGATAAGGTGCAGACTGAGACTGTGTAAAGTTAACTGTCTAAATATACCGGAAGCGACAGGCTTACAGTTGGTACACGTAAATCACAAGGCATCAGGAATTAACTAACTGGCAACAGAAAAAAGGAGGAAAACAGCTGAAATCAGACTGCATCAAGTAACAGCAACACAGTAACAAAAAAACGTCATGAGCAACTCATGGGACTACAAAGGGATTGGGTGATACACATACACATAGACGGATATGGGGTATAGGGCAAAAAAAACTAAGAACCAAACTACCAAAAGACACAATCAAAGAAACATGTATAAATAAGCATAACGCAACAATGAAGTTCACAGAGTTAGTCATTGTAATCAAAGATCTCCTCGCGGTGTTGGTTTCTCTACATCTCTACTAACGATCTAAGAACTTTCAAACTACCTGCATTAACTAACTTAAATAAGTTGACGCAGTGCCCGTTCCTCCTCCTCATCTGCTTTGAGGACAACAATACTCATATTGTAAAATCACAAAGGACAGGCTCTTTGCAAAGCAGAGTGAAGGAGCCCATCTATGTTAAGGACGGGAAACCATAGCTCAGAATCAGAATTGGTTTACACACAAACAAGCAATTTGTCCTGGAGTCACAGTGATATGAGTGAGTCATATGCACAGATATTATAACAGAAATTAAAATACATGAAAAGGCCATAAATGGGAGCTAGGGAGAATAAATAGAAGATGATGTGCAAAGTTGTGGGGTGAGGGGGGGGTGTTTAATAGTCCAGCAGCCTGGTGAAAGAAGCTGCTGTTATGCTCTGAGCTGTTAGTTCTGATGGACCCTGAGGAGACAAACAGTTCATGTCCGGTGTGGGAAGAGTCAGCAGCACTCTTCCTTGCCTGTCTCAGGTGATCTTGTATGGGCAGCCAATCACCTTCTCCTTAGTGGATGACGCACTGCAGCCAGCCTTTTGTCCATGGGCAGCATAGCAGATGGTGATGGAGGAAGTGAGGATAGATTCAATGATGCAAGTGTAAAACTGCAACATCATTGACTTTTGACCAACTAATAATTGAATTCTGTTTCACACATTAAATCACGATATTGTCCTAAAAGATCTAGAATACCACCTTTGATACAGAGTAACTTGTTCCTAGACCTCATTCCTGTGGTGTAGGAACCAGCTGTAGATACATAAAGTTATTATCTATTATTATTTGATTTGATTTTCTTAAAACTTGAAAGCACGTGTTTACAGCTAATCAAGTCTTCAGTATGTGGAATGCCCCAATGTGTATTCCTACAAGAACATATACGTGTGAACAATGTGCTAAGTAGAAGATGACAATGCCAGAATAATGTTGTTTCTACCAGTGTGGAAAAATTGGTTTATATATTCAATAATAAAAATCTTTTACAAGACTTGCAGTGCTGTGTAAAAGCTTTGAGTCATATTTGTTTATATTTTGCTTTCAAAGAGCCAGACTTTCTAAAAAAAAAATTTAATGTCCTTGAGCAATAATTCTGAAGGTTTTGTGATAGTGTTTTATAGTCCCCACACACCCTTTTAAGCTGCTTAACATTGACCTGATAATCCTTCAAGCATAAAAAAAACACGCAACTCAAGGAAAGAATCAGTGTTGTGCATACAAATGACAGACAACTTGGCAAAGAAGGCTTTTAAAACTGTAGCTTTAGGCACTCTGTTGCTTGCAGTAACAACATATGTTAGTACCCAGGACAGGTTACACCAAAAAGCTTCTGTTCAGTGACGATTAATGGGGAAAAAAAACCAAACAATCTTTGTTTCACATGAATTAATCAGCTCATGACAAACAAAGCAATACCCAGTTGTTCCGCAATCTCAACAGCAGGCTGAGAACAATTTCACTGCACTGTAACAGGTTAAAAGCGCAATAAGTGAAGAGAACAAACTTTGTTCTTGATTTTTACACCTAATTAGTTTCACTGCAGCCCGTGAGAAGCAAACACATCAATGCATAAACATAAAAAAGGACAAAAAAGTCTAGTCCACCTTAAGGGGAACACACAACTCTTTTTTATCTGTACTGGCTCACTTACCAGGATGGGCGAGACAAATGAGTAAATCCCCCCCAAAAAAAACGAATCACAAAAGAAACAGCAAAACCTCCACAGCAAGAGCAGCAAGGGGCTCAAAACAGGGTTGAAACTCAGCTTCTGTTGGAGCTCGAACCATGAAGGAGCATCACAGACTAAGACATTAGAACTGGTAATAAATAAGAATAAATAAGAATAAAAATAAACACATGCTGTATGTGTAGTGCATGAAGTGACTGTATTCTCTTATTTATTGTTTTCTTGTGTTTGATTAAACTCCAAATGTTCTATTCTTTGACTTATGATTTTGATTTTCTAAGCTTTAAAAAGAAACTGTCTGCATCATTGTGTGGTTTTCTTTTTTTGTGATTATCACAGCGTCAGTTCTTTAACCTGTTTGTTAGACGATCCTCTCCCTCCTGTTTTGTGTGATTCTAATGTCCTTTTAGGGGATTCTTCTGTCTTTTTTCAGCCAATGAAGGCTCGCGTTATGTTTCTTAACAGATCTGTCTTGCATTCTTATATACAACAGTACACTCCTCTACTGATGATCAAGGGTGTATGCCTATTGCAGTCCTGTCACACCCCCCCATGGCATCTCGCCAATACTAACCGCCACCAACCCTGAGGGGCCCTCCCCTTGCCACTGCCTGCTCTTCAGAAACTCCTGTTCCTGGAAAAACCACTGTTGACTCCGCCCACTTCGGTGGTGCATAAATTTCCTTGTTCACATGTTTTCTAGTTCCTCGATGGGTGTAACCAGCATGTCTGTGGTGAGCAACTACTTTCCTTGTTTCTGACAGATTAGACACTGCAAGGTGAAAGGCACAGCACATGAATAATGGATAACATTCTGCTGTTCAATCTGTCTGGATTTACTGAAGAATCCGGTGACTATTCCCTGTGGACACACTACTGCATGAACTGTATTAAAACCACTGGGATGAAGAGGAAAAGAAGAAAATCTACAGCTGCCCTCAGTGCAGACAGACTTTCACAGCGAGGCCTGTCCTGGTGAAAAACACCATGTTAGCAGATTTAGTGGAGGAGCTGAAGAAGACTGGACTCCAAGCTGCTCCTGCTGATCACTGCTATGCTGGACCTGAAGATGTGGCCTGTGATGTCTGCACTGGAAGAAAAATGAAAGCCTTCAAGTCCTGTTTAGTCTGTCTGGCATCTTACTGTGAGAAACACCTTCAGCCTCATTATGATTTCATTAAAGAAACACAAGCTGGTGGAGCCCTCCAAGAAGCTCCAGGAGAACATCTGCTCTCGTCATGATGAGGTGATGAAGATGTTCTGCCGTACTGATCAGCAGAGTATCTGTTATCTCTGCTCTGTGGATGAACATAAAGGCCACGACACAGTCTCAGCTGCAGCAGAAAGGACTGAGAGGCAGAGAGAGCTGGAGGTGAGTCGACAAAACATCCAGCAGAGAATCCAGGACAGAGAGAAAGATGTGAAGCTGCTTCAACAGGAGGTGGAGGCCATCAATCAGTCTGCTGATCAAACAGTGGAGCACAGTGAGAAGATCTTCACTGAGCTGATCCATCTCATCCAGAAAAGAAGCTCTGATGTGAAGCAGCAGATCAGATCCCAGCAGGAAACTGAAGTGAGTCGAGTCAAAGAGCTTGAGGAGAAGCTGGAGCAGGAGATCACTGAGCTGAAGAGGAAAGATGCTGAGCTGAAGCAGCTCTCACACACAGAGGATCACATCCAGTTTCTACACAACTACCCCTCACTGTCAGCACTCAGTGAGTCTACAGACTCATCCAGCATCAATATCCGTCCTCTGAGCTACTTTGAGGATGTGACAGCAGCTGTGTCAGAGGTCAGAGATAAACTACAGGACATTCTGAGAGAGGAATGGACAAACATCTCACTGACAGTCACTGAAGTGGAGCCAGAGCCAAAGACCAGAGCTGAATTCTTAAAATATTCATGTGAAATCACACTGGATCCAAACACAGCACACAAATGTCTGTTATTGTCAGAGGGGAACAGAAAAGTAACAGTAATGAATGAACAACAGTGTTATTACCATCATCCAGACAAATTCACTTATTGGTGTCAGGCCCTGAGTAGAGAGAGTCTGACTGGACGTTGTTACTGGGAGGTGGAGTGGAGAGGGAGAGGAATTCATGTCGCAGTCGCATACAAGGATATCAGTAGAGCAGGGTGGGGTAATGAGTGCAAATTGGGACGTAATGAAAATTCTTGGGCATTCAATTATTACAAAAACAGTTTTACATTTTGGTACAACAACATCCAAACTCCTGTCTCAGGTCCTCAGTCCTCCAGAGTAGGAGTGTACCTGGATCACAGAGCAGGTATTTTGTCCTTCTACAGCGTCTCTGAAACCATGACTCTCCTCCACAGAGTCCAGACCACATTCACTCAGCCGCTCTATGCTGGACTCTGGCTTTACTCTGGTGTAATAAGCGCTAAATTCTGTAAATTATAATAGAATTTCATATTCATATAAATGTGCATTTAATGTTTTGTCCATCATTGTTGCGCCATTTCTGTTCTGCACAGAGATCAGCTGTCAGTCAACATTGTGGGTGGTACCTCAGTAGCATTGTGTGGAGGTTATCCTTTTGTTTGTGGCCAGATTGTTTGTCTCCTCGATGTTGTTGCCAGTTTTATTCTTCTGAGAGGGTCATTATTCCTTTTGTCTGTTTAGCCATGGAGTCGAACACCGTGATGATGTGTTGTCATTGTCAATTTTTTATACATAAAGATCTCGTTCTCGCGAGAATGTGTAATGTATATTTGTATATGTTAGGTTGACTATTGGCATTGAGTTTCGACAAGCATGGCCGGTTCTTTAAGAGTGGGTCAGATGGTTATCGTAGACAGTTTTGGAAGACGGATTAGATATGTTATGGGCATCTATTACGTGCTCAATGATTGTTGTTATTGTATTGATGCACTTTTAATTTGTAGTTTCTATTCACTTTCAATGAACAGAGGACATATGGGCCAGCCCCCTTTTAGAAATGTTCAAGTTTTCCCTTGTTCGTATAAAGAAAGATAGAGAATTTCTCTATGAACAATACTTTGATTTTGGTCTGTGAAAAATTGAGGTTAATAAAGAATGCAGTTTGTCTTGAGGTCTATGTGTCTCCAGAAAAAATAAAGTTATAGAGAGTGAACTGAATACCGTTTGCTGAATTCAGGGAATGATCGATTTATATGAGAGGTTATGGTTTCATTTGAGAAAGTGAGACGAGATTTTGTTCCTGCACATTTTTGTCCATGGATGGACTTTGCATGACACAAAAAATAATAATGTAATCATGTGACATCCGTGAACTATTTATTGCATGAAAAATATTTAGTTTTTTTGTGTTGGTTTGAATAAATTCTTAATAATTTAAATATTTAAACTGGCATTAAAATGATTGAAATCCTGAAAATAATTCAATGTTAGATCATTTTGGAAAAGGGGTCAAGCTGATTAGGTCATTTATGAAAAAAAGCTAAAACAAAACACACACATATTGTTCTATGAGGATTTTATGGCAAAGAATCAAAAGCATGCAAAATGCATCAACTGTATGGATGACATGTAAGGTCAAAAATTTGAACTTAAAAGTAGATTTCCTGGAAATAATCCATCCAACAAGCTGTAACACAGACAAGAAAACAACAAAAAAGTTCAAGTAAATGAATAAAAATGCCCGGTGAGGTCATAAGGGTTAAATCAGGGTTCAGTACTGAAGGTGTCAGGCTTCATGGTGTGGAGGGAAGGAAAAGAGGACCCAAACGCAGGACTCGTGGATGAGTGATGAACTGAAGGCTGTTTATTATTGAGAATGGATGAACAGAACATGAACGAACACCAAACTGAAAACACGCACGACCGTAACGGCAACATCAACAATGACACAACAAGGGAATACACAGCTGAACGTGATTGAACTGATGACACACAGGAAGAGAACTAGAACATAATGCATGTGGACAGGAGGCACAGACAAGCAGGAAATATGAACAGGTGAAAAAGGAACCAAACATAAACAGAAAACACTCTGTCAGCGACCCAGGAACCCTGACAGAAGGCCATTTAAAGTTTATGCTTTTTACTGTATTAGTTGGTAGTGTGTTGATTGGTTTAAATACAGGGTGAGTATGAAGCTTTCGTCAAGGGTAATTTGTCCATAATAAATCGGTTAGGTTTATTGTGACCTTCATACACTGCATGGTTTTAATAAACAACATGACATTGGCTCGAAGGCTCAGAAAAGTGTGCTTGTAAGTCAAGGTACAGAATGATATTAAAAAAGGTTGAGCAATAAATAGATCAATATACTGGTGGAGCTATGGGAAATGTAAACATAATAAAATATACAGTTGTTTCTCAGTTAGTCCGGGCGTGTTGTGGGTGGGTGCGACTGAAGGGTCAAGGCGCCAGGGCCCATGTGCCTATGAAGTAGAAGGAATGAGGTTTGGTAATAGGGTAGTATTTAGCACCAAATGTGGAATGTTAGATAGGTCGAGCGGCTAATATGTTGAATGAAGGGTAAGATCATAGCGGCCTAGGAACGCTGGCGTTCGGCGGCACTAGATCCGCATTTGTTTAGGGTCTGGTGAACGTTCACTGGGGTTAGTCCGGTGTTGAGTAGTCCTATAACTGCGCTGTCAGTGCCACGGAATGATGTCAAGGGTACGGATTCACTGAGAGGTTGGCAATTTACTGAGGGAGTCATGTATGAATTAACTGTCTAAAGTCTTTCATCTTTATAAAATGATCTAAAGTCTTTCATCTTTAATAAAATGATCAGTGTTCTGCTCTACCAGGTGTAACAATTGAGTTTAACATCCAGGCATCCATGAAAACGGAATTTATGACATTTAACGGAGTTAGAAGTTAGCAGGGAGTTAGCTCGCTAGCTTCTATCTAAATACAATATAGCATGTCCTGACTGCGGGGTTTTGGAAACAAATTAAAACGTACAGCTCTGTTATCACTTCCAACATAAATGAAGACAGAAAACTAAACAGCAGTGACGTTTGTAGGGTTACTGAAGTTGGGCTAGCTGGTATATAATGATGTGCTACGTGACCGCTAGTGACACAGCTATGTTAGCATAATATAAACAAGCTAACTTTTTTTCCACTCGATAAAAGTTAACGTGAGTGTTCTCGGTGGTCAGGAACAAATGTAATCGCATGGCAGGATGCTGTGGGTGGTGCATAGGGATGCATGGGTGAAAATAGGATCCTAGGTAGCTCTTTGTCAGCCGGAGAAGAGCTTGGAGGATATTATCTGCATACTGCCGTATACAATAGCGGGAGGTTTTAGTTGCATGTCTCATATACTAGTTGCATTGGCTGGGCTGTGAAGTATGTACATGGTTCCTATAGGCTTTTTAAAAACTGTGGCGTATGGTTGGTGGTTAGTTTTTGATTGACAGAGACGCGCTGGAGCTTAAATAAATGATTAGCGGTAATAAAAGCCGAGGGAGGTCAACAGGGATCACTGACTGTTTTAGGAGCTTTTTGAGATTAAATAGAAGAAAATACATAACATTAAACATGTTAACAACACAAAAGCCATATTAAACGCAGACTACTTTAGACCCGGAAATAGGATTCGTCACGTCATCACTGAACAACCGGATAGAGAATGCTCAGTCTGAGAGGGACTGAGAGCAACAGCTTTAGCTCGTACATATGTATTTATATTGTTTTCAATGTCATGCCGTAACCTACGGATAAGTCTTGTACATTCAATAGCAGGCTGCCACACCCACAGCTGAACTGTACTGTAGGGGAGACCGGGGATAGTTGTAACATTTTTGACATTTCTGTCTGTAAATTGGAGCTCTTTTAAGGTAGTGGATTCAAAATGTAATGCAAAGTATTTACATGTCTCGGCTATTAAATAGTGCAGCTATTTTCTCTGCAGCACAATTACCCATTGCATGGTATGGTCTCAAACACAAAGAGTGAAATGTTACAATTAACCCCATAGTCTGGGTTAGTTGTAACATATCCTGGGGTGAAATGTAACACAATGAAATAAGGGTACTAACAAAACATTAACATGTAATCTTTGTTTATTCAACACATGAATGCACTTACATCCATTTATGTAGCTGTGTGTGTGTGACAGAATGCAGAAATCTAGCTTTTGAACATATTCCAACCCCCCAAAAAAGACAAATTATGGAATTTTCTGCAACTGAATATTTCATTAATTTTGGTTGGTCTTCCTTGAGTTTGGCCTCATTGGCTCAGTGGGCATTATAACCTACAACTCTTGCACCAATTTTGAACATAACAATGAAGCTGAAAAAATGTAGTTGTTCACCAGCATCGCAATTCCATTACTTTTTATCATGGCTTACCTTGGTGTGGTTTGCAAAGTGCTTCAGAAAGATGAGGAAATCTGTTTCTTGCACCCATCCTGATTTATTTCCACTACCAGTACTTCCTACTGGTCCATCTCTGACACAGAGGTCTGCATAATGTATGTGTGGGAACACAAACAGTGGAGGAATTGTGTTGCCAATGGCATTAACCGCATATACAAATGCGACCAGTGAACCTCTCTCTGCTGATGTCGTTGCCCCAACTTGTTTAATATAAGTTAAAGTAATAGTGTGGTAAGTTGTAACATCTGCATTATTGTTACAACTAACCCAGACTGTTGCTGTTACAACTGACCCAGACTCCTATAGCCATGAACTAGCTAACATTACAGCCAACGGCTAAAACATTAGCTCTAAAGACCTACACAGAATATATCCCCATAGACATACAAATAACATAATTTAAGTTTGATGAGTTTAACTGCAAAGCAGATAATGCTATTAGAAATTGAAATAAAGTAGAAAAACTTACTTTTTGGCATACAAATTACTTTTTTTCATGTTAAATTGTCTGTGTTTGACAAAATGTGCTGATTTTTCACATGTGATAGCAGAACTGAATTGGGCATGCACAGGATGAGTCACATCATTTGAAACTTAGCCCTGATTGGAGAAATTGGAAGTGTTACAACTGACCCACGTTACAACTATCCCCGGTCTCCCCTACCTGTATATAAGAAGATTCATTTATTTGGAATGGCTCTTTAGTGGGAAGATAAGATATGAGTGGACAGGATGCCACCAGAGCAGACCAGTGTCAACAGGAAGCACGCACTCTGAGAGTGCAAACCTCTGCCAAGGCAGCTACTCTAGTCCACCTTAAGGGCAATACCCAAGTCCTCCAAAAAAAAAACAAATCACAAAAGAAACAGCAAAACCTCCACAGCAAGAGCAGCAAGGGGCTCAAAAAAGGGTTGAAACTCAGCTTCTGTTGGAGCTCGAACCATGAAGGAGCATCACAGACTAAGACAGTAGAATTGGTAATAAATAAGAATAAAAATAAACACGTGTCGTATGTGTAGTACATGAAGTGACTGTATTCTCTTATTTATTGTTTTCTTGTGTTTGATGAAACCCCAAATTATTTATTCAATTCACAAAACAAACAGCAAAACCTAATCATCCACAGCAGGAGCAGCAAGGGGCTCAACACAGGGTTGCTATTTTAATCAATTTGTTCCAACTGTTTTATAAGCGTCTTTTAAAAAAGCACCACAAGTGAAAAATTTTATTTCATTAGCAATCACTGAAGTGGAGGCTTTACTCAACAACATCCAAACTCCTGTCTCAGGTCCTCGTTCCTCCAGAGTAGGAGTGTACCTGGATCACAGAGCAGGTATTTTGTCCTTCTACAGCGTCTCTGAAACCATGACTCTCCTCCACAGAGTCCAGACCACATTCACTCAGCCGCTCTTTTATGTCTCTAGCTATGTGCTGTGTGTCAGTGTTGATGGTTGTTTACTGTGTATACCGTCCTCTTAGGTACAGTGGGTGTTTTTGAGTGTATTATTAAGCAGCGATAGGTTTGTTGTTGTAATCAGAGGTACTAGGGTATCCTGTGATCCTGTTTTTGCGGTTGCGGGATGGCTCAATGGTAACGAGGTGTGTGGTCTGATGATGTTTTTAGGACGCAGGTTGTAATATTGTTTTGGTCTGATATTAGGCCTGTTATGGTGGCTGTCGACATGGTCGCTGAATTGGCTCATGAGCAGGGTCGAGTTGAGATTGATTACTACGTGTTTATATAGGATATGTTATAAGAGTCATGTGGTACATTGTACGGATGTCAGTTGATTGTATAGATCTGGTCTTAGATGTGTTGAGGATAGAGCTATTGTTGCGCGTGTGAATGTTAGTGAGACTGCTGTAGAGGTGGGCTAAGTTGAGGCGGTGTTTTGTTGGTTGGTGCCTGTGGTGAGGTGTGGTCAGTGCTTTCTTTACAGGCCTGTAAGTGTGTGTGTGGGCTGCCGATGTGGCCCTGCCGTGGTCGATGTCCGTAGCTGAATGTAAATTCTAATGGGCGTCCTGGGTGATGGAGGTCTAGCGTGTGTTTGTTCGGTTGTGGTGCTGTAGCTTGATTAGCATATTGTTGGGCCAGTGGTGGGCGCATGTTTGTACATTTGGGATGATGGAAGGCTGTGTTAGGGATGCCGATATGCTGGGTGAAACTGTTCATACGATTGTGGTTGGTTGCTGGGTCTCTTGTTGAGTCTATTCGGCTATTCCGCGTGGAGTGGGTTCAGTGAGTTGTTGAGAGTTTGGTGGCTGTATAGGTGTGTTAGCGAGTTTAGTCGAGAGTTGGTGGCTGAGAGGTATTTGTGTGATTGAGCTGTGGTGTTGTATTTTGTGATTGGTATTTGGTTGATAGGATGGGAGCTGCGTGGTGGCCATGGTATTATGGTTTATGCACTGTTCGTGTTGTTGTGGGTTCACTTTCTCTGAGTTGTTATTGTAGCGCGCGGAGATAAAGTGTCATGTTATCGAGTCTTGGTTTTGTCGGTTGGTTAGAGTGTCTAGCGTTTTATATGTTGTTCCTTGATAGGTTTGGATGTGTGTATAATGGTTCCTGGGCTGGTTGTTCGCGCTATGGTCGCAGGTGTTTGCTTGTGTAGGTTCTTTATACAACTGCCTCAGATGTGTTCGGGATTTTGTGCTGGCTGTGTCTAGGTCTGTTTAGTCTCTTGGTGGGTGTTTCTCGTTGATAGAGAGTTGCCGCTGTGATTGACAGGGGTGGGCTGAGGGTCGCGTTGGTGTGTTATTGAGTGCGCTGGTTGGTGTTCTCGATTTTTATTGGCTGGTGTGCTGTTGGGCAGAGACAGTCTGTGTTTTCGACGGTATCTGGTCTCTGAGTTCGATTTGAAGTTTTATACTGAGTTGATCATAAGAGGTGTCGATGTTTCATGGGATGTTTGAATAGTGTCAGAGTTTAGAGGTGAGAGAGCTGGATGTGTGTAGGGTGGTGGTTGCGATAGTGTTAGTGGCTCTTTGGTTGTTGTCATGAAGTCTTTGCACATGTTTCTGCATTGTGTATTGCGTCGGTATTGGGCTCTTAGCGAAGTGCGCACATGGATGGACGGTGTCGTGTGCTTGTGTTGCGTTCGAGTTAGAGGGTGGGGTTTAAGGGTGTCCCGTGCCGTTCGTCGGTTTGCTCTGCTGTGGTTCTTGCTTCCTGCGTGCGCCGGTGTCAGTAAGACTCTGTGTGTAACATCTGTAGACATTGTAATGTGAGTTGAGAAAAGTCAGGGGGTAGACATATGTAGTGGCTGTTGAGAGAGCAGTGCGTTGTGTATTCTGTGTCCTATCGTGTGGATTTGGATTAGTTCGGTGTGAGTTGAGTTACGTTGTTGTCGCTTTGATTACGTGATTTTTTATAGGCTTATATGATGTGGTTGTCAGAACAGAGAAGCGTAAGATTTACGGACGTTTTTAGGGGGCGGAGGTTGTGTTCCTTCTGTTATTGTGTGGTGGTCGGTTTTGATGGTGCTTAGGACAGTGCAGTATGTGTGCATGATTTGTTACTCACGTTCACTCTAGGTCGACGACGGTATGTGTTGTGTGTTGTGGTTGTGGGGTGTTTTGGTGGTGGGGTGTATTAGTGCGGTGTTTGTTGGTCATCCGTGAACACATTGTGGCGTGCTGTGTTATGGTCGTTGTGTGTGTTTGCGGTTGTCTCTGATTCGTGTCTGGACGATGCTTGTCAGTTGTGCAGTATACCAGCTAGTTCAGGTGGAGGTATATTGGAGGTGTAGCATAATACTTGTTTGTCGCGTAGAGGATGCTTGCTGGGTATGTGGTGGTTGGTTTTGAGGAGGTGAGGAGATAGTGGATTTGTTGGGTAGGGTTTAGAGAAGCTATATCAGTGACGGTGGGTTGGTTGTGTTGAGTGATATGTGAGCGTAGAAGTTAAGGCTGTGTTGTTGTGGGTTTAGAGCTTTCATTTGGGTAGTAAGAGTTGTGTGCGGTACCGGCCATAGCTGGGTCCTCTTCATTGGATGATAGTTTGGGTGTTGGTGGAGACTGGTCAATGGAATAGTCATCTTTGTGTTTAGCATTGCAGGATGCTCATGGCGCTACATGAGTGTGCGCACTGCGGTGGTCTTCTGGAGTCTGGTTCTCGTCAACTAGGTTCAGGCTTGCAGGGATAGATCAGGGTGGAAAGACTATGGTATCTTTTGGGCTGGGTGTGTTTGGAGGTGCTGAGGTGGCGTCTATTGTGAATTGTCAGAGGCCTTAGCTGGTGATTGTATGCATTAGGAGTGCGGTGTGGATGATTTGATGGGGTGGATGTCGTTAGAGTGTGTTGCATCACATCGGTGGCATGGGGGGTGTCTCAGTGGCTGCGTTGCGTGGATGTGTGGTGTTGGTGTGACGGAGTGACGCGAAAGGTGGCTCTGGTCGGTGTGTGGTATGTATGTTGTGGTTGGGTGTGTAGGTGGTGTTTACTGTGAGGGTGTAGTGGATCGTCGACAAGTGCGCTTTCGCTCTGTGATGCATGTTGGCGGTGATTGGCGTGTAGGGGGTGCGCGTGGTATCTTGGCGGTATTCGATACGACGGATGTGCTATGTGTGGATTGTGCCGGTATTGCAGACCGGGGTGGGTTTAGCCTTTCTACTAGATTGACGTTGTGCGCAGAAGTTATAAGCGCGTGGTGCCTGCAGCCGAAGCTGTATGCCCTGAGTTGTTGCATAATATGGTAGCGTGTCACTACTGCTAACAATTACAAATGTTCAAAAGGTAACGAGTATCTTGTGAGGGTGGCCTCGTTCAGCCGTGGGTGATGTAGTGTTGTTGATGGTTGTTATGTTGTGCCACGTGAAATTGTATTTGGGTTTAGATATGCTTGCACAGTCTAGTTCCTGACATACAACCTTGGCGTATTTGCATAGTCCGAAGGGACATATCCTTATATTATCCGTTTTGGCCTGGTGACATTACGCATTAATTATCATTGGTGGGTGCTCGCTGTAACTGGTTGTGGTTGGCAGGCTCCAACGCAGAACCTCACCAGTGTGGCGGTGTAGTGGCGATGGTGGGTGAATATGTCGAACGGGTTTTCCTTGTGCCAGTGGTTTGTTGACGTGGTTCTCTATGCCTGTGGAGCTGGGTGCCGTGTTTGAGCGCTTAGATGAGAGAGTAACGCTAGCCTATGCCATTGGTTGTCAAATACTCTGTGCTCATTTTGGCCTGTGAATGATTTAGTGTGAATAGTGTTTTTAAATCTGTTGCATGTAATTCTGGTTAGGAACTGGACACCTATAGTCAATGGGCTTGTTACGGCACTTTTTACATGCATGTGTACTTGCCTGAGAGTAAAGCTTAGCGAGGCTTTGCCTGGGGAGTCTGTAAAGATGTCCATTGTTGTGTTGAGTTTGGTGTGTATTATTGAGTGTGACGAAAATTAACGGTGTAAGTGACAAAACTAAGAATTTTAGTAATTGCATTTAAATTTTCATTTACCATCTAATAGTTAATGTGAACAAAGTCTTAAATGATGAATTGTAAAAAACCTGATAATCCCTCCTATTCTTATGCTCGCTAACACTTTATTTCTTTGTGGTCCACATGTTCGCTTTTTCCCTCCCCTTCAGTTCTGCAGTTTGATCAACAGGTGGTTTTGTGTAAGAGCTGGCAGAACCCATTTACTGCAGAAAGTTATGTTGCTTACATAACAGCGCAGTGTAGTTTCAGTTGTAAGTCAAAGAAACTCAAACAGTCGCTGACACTGTTGGGTGAAATGGCGCAGAAAGGAGTTCAGTTGGACCGAAAAACCTTCTCTTGTTCGATCTGTTTGGATCTACTGAAGGATCCGGTGACTATTCCCTGTGGACACAGCTACTGCATGAACTGTATTAAAAGCTTCTGGGATGAAGAGGAAAAGAAGAAAATCTACAGCTGCCCTCAGTGCCGGAGGACTTTCACAGCGAGGCCTGTCCTGGAGAAAAACACCATGTTAGCAGATTTAGTGGAGGAGCTGAAGAAGACTGGACTCCAAGCTGCTCCTGCTGATCACTGCTATGCTGGACCTGAAGATGTGGCCTGTGATGTCTGCACTGGGAGAAAAATGAAAGCCTTCAAGTCCTGTTTAGTCTGTCTGGCATCTTACTGTGAGAAACACCTTCAGCCTCATTATGATGTGGCTCCATTAAAGAAACACAAGCTGGTGGAGCCCTCCAAGAAGCTCCAGGAGAACATCTGCTCTCGTCATGATGAGGTGATGAAGATGTTCTGCCGTACTGATCAGCAGAGTATCTGTTATCTCTGCTCTGTGGATGAACATAAAGGCCACGACACAGTCTCAGCTGCAGCAGAAAGGACTGAGAGGCAGAGAGAGCTGGAGGTGAGTCGACAAAACATCCAGCAGAGAATCCAGGACAGAGAGAAAGATGTGAAGCTGCTTCAACAGGAGGTGGAGGCCATCAATCAGTCTGCTGATCAAACAGTGGAGCACAGTGAGAAGATCTTCACTGAGCTGATCCATCTCATCCAGAAAAGAAGCTCTGATGTGAAGCAGCAGATCAGATCCCAGCAGGAAACTGAAGTGAGTCGAGTCAAAGAGCTTCAGGAGAAGCTGGAGCAGGAGATCACTGAGCTGAAGAGGAAAGATGCTGAGCTGAAGCAGCTCTCACACACAGAGGATCACAATGCTAGT